AACCCGATGATTCTAGGCAGTTAGCTGTCTGAAATGCTTCAGGAAATGGTCCAAATCCTACTTTGTAGTACTTTTCAATGCTGGTGGAGTCATCTGTTTTACCCAACTTAGGAGGAACTTTGATTGTGGTGGTCAGACACTCTCCTTCTCAACTCTTGGCCATCACCTGACTGAGTTGTCATCGATACTGTAAGCAGAGCATGATAGGGGATCAAAGAGTCCTTGACAATGACAAGTGGTAGTCCCTATTTCTAGGTGGAAGAGTGTTAAGATTTACTCAGCAGCTAGTTCATTTGTTCTGCATGATCTCAAGATCCAGCCTCATCCATGGATCTATATAAATGTATCTTCTGAACTGACGAGGTTCACCACTTCCCCATTATCCATAATTTTGCTATTTCGTGCCTGTTGTTTCACCTGCTGTTTTGCTAGTTCCAGTTGGCAGACATCATCTACCAGTAGCACCCCCTGTTCTCAGGAAGCTTCAAACAGAGCTGTGATTGTATTAATTCTGCTTACATAAGTCTGTGGGTCCTACACAAACTATCCCACCTAGTCTCAGACTTACCAACTGACAATTCCCAGTTGTTTATACTTCCCTTGCCCTAAAGTTATTGCAAAAGGTAAGAGCAGCGACATATATTGTGAGTGCACCAAGTATTGCAGGCTCTTCTTCCTCAGTCGTCAGTTGTGACGAAATAAAGGTCCTGGATCTTCACAGCTTTGGTGAAAGTCCTACATTCTGGATTTCTCCTAGACCTGATATCTCTTGCTGACAACCATCTCCCCTCAGTGGCTGATTCGTTCTCTTGTTTGTTAGCCCCTATACTCATGTAAAATGTCATTTTCTTAATTATGAGACCTTTTTAAAAGTTATCACACAAGAGTAGGTGTAAAAGGTAGTACACATTTCAATAGATGTAGCAAACTCCTCAATATGATATCCCGCAGTCTTGGCACCAAAATCTTCTTATACTTATCAAGTCTGTTGCATATTCATGTAAAACTGAGTTCAACTTTGACTTATTGGGCATATCTGTTTGATAATTGGAGTCTTGGTCAGTATATAACTCACAAAGTAATGCTAAATCTCTTAAAAATTCATAATGTTAAAGTAAATGGAAAAAATGAGACTGGACACAAAGTGAATTGCAAAATGAACGATCTTTATCGCAACACTAAACACAGTGTGTCTACTTGTTTTTATTTATACGGGACTGTCACTGAAGATCCTGTTCCCGATTTTCTGAATACAATGTCTCTAGGTTTAAAATAAATTTCACATTTGTCTAGAGCGAGTAGCACTACTCATGTGATGGTCATTCACACTACAATATAAGTGAAGTCATAACCTCTAAAAAACAGCAAAGGAACAAAGGCAGCTAGAACGAGGTCAACACAGGCTGCTAATGTAAATGTGTCATATTAATCCTAAATAATCACAATGTAAGAAGTAGCAATAAATATATCTACAAGTTACTTTATTATCTCTGAATTTATGGTTTGAAATTAATGTAACGGCAATTTTTAAGCATTTTTGAACATTTTGGTATTCCTGGTTAAACAGTCTTTCTAACGGAGCAGTCAGTTAGGCCTCCTAACTGGAGGTTAAACAGAATACCGAACTAGTAAAATCCCTCTCAATTTGTAGCTTAGTCCTTCAGAAGATCAACTCAGAAATCAATAATTTCACTAGTTAACAAACAAAAATAGTTAAATACAATATGCTACAAAAACAAAGCAGACAAGGGCAAGTTTTTTGTGGTGGGTGTTGAACTGATAAAAGCAGGTAAAGATTTTATTGAATGAGCTCTGATCACTTTAGTATGTTCCCCCTGGAGGTTAAAGTAGACCCTAAACTAAAAAGAAAAACCTCAAGTTAAATTTAAAACAATCAAACTACAAAAGTTGCATTTAAATCAAATCCAATGACAAATTTAAGGTTAATAAATAGTACCAAAATTCTATCTAAACACCAAACTAAAATATAATTGCTTAAACATTCTTAAAAACATACTATTCGTTCAGCAAAGTGAAATTAAAAATCTACTGGCTTTAAGCAAACAGAAAAACAAGGTACAAGAAAATTATCACTGTATTACAAATGAAATCCTTAAAATCAGTAAAATCCTATAAATATCCTTAAAGTTTGACAAGTCCTGTTTTGCAAGGACAATAATGGCTATAAATTATATCATAAAGAAAATATAAACTAAACCATATTTGTACCCCAAATGCACCTCATATACGAGATTCCTCCACTCAGAGTCAAGCTCTAGGGTGTGGCTGTCCCTGACCCTTATCCTATTCTCCTACAGAAAAGATAACTTTCTATTTCTGGACATTACGTGCTATCTCCCCTGCAAGAGAAGTCAGTTATTTGTCAGTTAGTAAACACACATTTTACGTGTTTTCAAAATAGGAAAAGTTAAAAGTGTTAGTTGAGGGAAACTTTGGTGTTCAAACTGAGAACACTGAAAAACAACATTAATTTTTAAAAAATGTACACTAACTATGTTGGTAGCAGAAACATAGTTCGTCTTGTACTTCACAATTGATAAAAAAAACGTGCATGGGTTTAATACTATTGATATTTTTTTACAAGATATTTTTATTCAAAGCACTTAATTTCATCAGGCCTACTGAAGTTCACGTACTTAGGATTAATTTCACACAGCTTCATTAGCAGCCTGCTGAGGAACACGGTTTTATTCATGAGCTTTAGTTATGTAATGTATAGGGATTTACTATATTTGAAGACATCAACTAAATTTCATAGGTTACTGGGAAGTTTTCTACTAGTGCTGATTGTATAAGTTGTCACATTCTGATTGGTTCTAAACGTGTTTCACTGTAGATAGGCTTCTTGCAGGCTTTCGTTCAGACATTATATTATTGCTAATATACCTCCATTCATTCAACCTCCCTTAAATTGATTAAATTATCGGTACTAGAAGCTCTTAACCACAGAGCGAAGAATTTAGATGTGAGCCAAAAATGAGAAAAATCAAAGCAATGTGAAGCTTAATGACAAAAGTTGATTAGCGGTTGCTCTTTTTTTTTATACAGTAATGTCTTTAGCCAGTTTTCCAATGGTGTTTACAGCAGCAGTTGACAATGATTGTTCTGGTCCTTCAGAAAACAGAGATTGTTATAAAACTGTGATAAAGGATACCATAAAGGACACAGTATACAGCTCATTGTGCATGGTTCAATTGTTTACTCCTTTATAACCTCCTGTAGTTCAGACGTGTTTCCATTTCTTTGGTTAAGCGGTCACGCGCAAACATGAAAGTATCCCTTGGAGTCATGAAGTCGCTTAACAGATCCAATATGAGAGAAAATCCGATGTATGGATTTAATTGGATAATCAAATATCAATAGAAAGCTTGAATTGCTGTATATCCAAGGGACCGCTTAGAAAATATGTTTTTTGTTTGGTTATGCAGTAAGGATGAGGAAATGGAAAAACGATTAAACACGTAAAAATTGAAAGTTTTATTCATATTTTGATTTTGAAAAACTAGCATATTGATCTTGATTAAATAATTGAGGAAGTGGGCTGTTGTCATAAGGTTGGTCCTGGTGCTGTCTGCGTCATTTTATAGTCTACTTTTGCATTCCCTCCTGTCTTCGCCTGTCATAGACATATTACTTGTTATTATCCAGTTAATAATACTGACTTGGTGGTTGTGGGGCTCGTGACGAATGTTTATCCTAGTTCTGTGAAGGTCCTCCATCGCAAGAGGGACCGACTATAATTTTCGATATAATATCGACCACATTATATAAGACATAGTTACAGCAAATTGTTTTTTCTACAAGTTTACAGTGAGAATATATATATATATATTCAGGAAATGTATCAACAATCCCTCTAAAATGTAGAACAATGTGGTAGAAATTTTAAATAGAAGAAACATGAAGGCTGTGTCAAGATAGTTCAGACTTTTTTGTCCGTGTATGTATAATACATGTGATGTGCTTATTACCATATGTGTACATTTGAGTGTGATGTTGATGTTTACTGCATATATCCACTGCATAGAAATGCAGCTGGCCTACCGACCTCAGGTTCTATACTACTGTTTGAAATTGTTGCTGAAAGTGCAAGAAAAAAGCTATAAGTAGCTAGAATCTTCTTAGATAAAAATCTCTATTCCAAATCCAAGCTTTAGAAACTTTAAAATTATTTTAATCAAATTATGAAGTAATGATGGTGTAAAGACGTAAGAATACGATGGATGGATTATTCAGATACATTTTTATGATTGTGAATATTGTCGTATATATATATATACATAATTACTGATAGATTTAAGTGAAATCATAATTTTTGTGATTATATGTATTTCTCAATACAAAGGATTTTAATACAAACACCAAGAAGTCATTAGTAGGAGGAGCAACTAGTCATAGCGCACACGAAGCGTCAAGCATATCTGCAAAAGCTGAGGAAATATGGGATTGGTCTAATGAAGCAATTATTGGGCGGAGTCGCATATTAATTTGTATATAAAATAAAGACAGGCAAGGAGGGTATTTATCTTCTACCCTGATTGAAATTTCTTCAACTAAATCCAATTGTTGCTTAGTTCTACCATTTCTTTTTCGGTGAGGTAAAGAAGACACTGCTTGACTCATCTGCTGTTTATAGCTTCATCTAAAGGTAAGTATACTGCCATTGAAAGTACTTCTCTGTGTGTGTGTGTCGTCTGTAGTCAGTTATAGCTATAGTCGTATATGAACTAAGCGAGCACTAAATGCATTTCTGTACACTTTACCTTGCAATTTTTAAAATAAAGCTTAAAGCACAATGACGGCAATTGTAGAAGTGATTCGACTTAGAAAACTGCACGTCAAATTTCTATAAACCTTAACCAGAATACTGTTATCTCCAAAAGATATGATACCACTAATTATCTAGTTTTGTTCTGGCTGCATGCTTGCTTATATAACTATACATTGGATGTGCTAATAAAATGGCTATTTTCTTTAAGAGATATGCAAAGGTCTCAAAATGAGAGTTCGAGAGGGAATTTTAACAGTATCCAGGTGATGTTAGACCTTCAGGAAACTGCTGACTGCAACCAGTCACAGACTGAAATAAACAGTATGAAAATGATGGGCTTTCCGTTGACCAGTCAAATAGTTACGACGTCAGTGAATGGAAGTTTAGTAAACTCAGTGTGCGTCCGAGATTCTATCACAAAGATTGTTCAAACGAATCGCGTCTTGAGCCAAAACCCTATTGGTAAGATTTTATTTTATTTTTATAATTTCTAAGTCCATTTTTGATTATTTTATATGAATTTAAAACAAAGTTCTGAAAATGTTTACAAATTGTAAAATTTTAGTTTTTAGTAAAGTCAACTTATTTCTGTATGATCTTGTACATACATTAATTAAACTATGTTTATTAGTTTCGTTTAGTTTACTTATAAATAGATTACTGTACTGTAAGAATTATTCAAGTGAGTTGTCACACTAATGTTTAGCTCATTAGAAATATAGTAATAACCGAAAACCAACAAATGTTCTTTTCCGTTCAGTTTATTGAAGCGCCATGTATATAAGGAAAAATTTTCTCTTATTTCAGCTGACTCTAAAAAATCTAAGTCAACGGAGAAAAGCCAACATCCAGGAATTACTGCAGGCAAGCTAGCCAAGAAAAAGAAAACTAGGTAAGCCTTTAAATATATATATATATAGGTCTACTAAATTATGGTATTTGATAATAAAAATCCATGAGAAAACTTGCTAAATTATGTTTCAAATTTTCCAACAATTTTATTTTTCCCCTGTTGTTTTTGAAATATTTCTTATAATAAGCCTCAAAATATCTAAGCTATATGGGTTTTTTTTCCTAGAAAAATTACTAGATAATGAACAATAAAGTTGTAATATTTCTGGTAAATACCCGAGCCTGTAAAAATAACAGCCATGTAAAGCATTGTCGTGAATATGGAAAACTCTTCATAAGCAAGTTACTGTTAACTTTAGGATTTTAATAAATGATTTTACATTCAGTTGTTGATTTTGACCTCATGTTCATGCTTCTTAAGAAACTTGAAAACTTTAAGAACGCGCTATTCGTTAAGGATTACTGATCGACAAAGAAAATAATGTTATGAGTATTATAGTAAAAATTAAGACACTTTTTTAATTTTTCAAGCAGGTTTATACATAGTTTATACAGACGTAACCTAAACATTTTTTAAAGTGGGGATTGAACTGTTCGTATTTGTTATATGCAATGCTAGAAAGTAATCTTAATTATTAAACTATCAAACGTAAGTTATTTTGAATTACTATCAATGTTGAGTAGATTTTCTTCTGTACTATGAGTAACTGTATATTTTATAATAGCACAGAAGTGCGTGAAACTTTCTTTTTTTGATAAATTTCGTGTTCTACAAGTGTTCTTTAAAACTTTACTGAGGTGAATTTCGCTCTTTTTTAAATTCATTTACTTTTAATCAAAATAATCAAATTATTTTCTGATTAGGCTGATAAGGCTGATAATCTTAATTAAGAAAACAGTATCTTACAATTTAAATAGGACAACTTTCACCGTGTTTCAACTCCAAGAACTTGAAAGAGCATTCCAGAGGGCGCCGTATCCAGATGTCTTTGCTCGTGAAGAACTCGCTCTCGGTTTGAATCTTAGTGAGTCACGAGTTCAGGTAAATGAAAGATTCCAAGAGATACTTATTAATAAGTAGATTTTTGCATTTTGTAAATATACGTTTAATTGATTAGCATCTTTGGTCAGAGTGATTCAAAAGAAGGCATAAAAACTACATTATTCAACTTTTTACACAGTTAAAGAGAAGTCAGTTTAAGTATTTTGTATCTTTGTGGCTAGAGTCGCAAGGAAAGTAATTGTGTAGTTTAAACATTTTACTTTGTTATGTCAGTTATGATAATTGTAACATTTCAATACCAAATGTTTCAAAAACAAGAAAAGTGTTAAAATCACAGAGAAGCTCATATGTTCTATTGTACATAGCTATATACGGTGGCCGGACAGTTCGCTACTGAACATTTCTTTCCGGTACATTTCGCTACCGGTCTTTTCGTTACTAGGTTATTTCGCTAACAGGTCATTTCGCTACCTGATAATTCTATGTCATAATCTCTCTTACATATCTTATTTAAGATCATAAAATAAAAATATATTTTGTCAGTATTAGTTCATTAGACAAACACTCCAGTCAGTAAAATATTAGTAAATATTTCTTCAATATTAGTTTATTAGAGAAACACTCCTTCAATATAAAAAAAGGATCCTATGTTGTAAAACATTTTATTTAAAATGATAAAAGATCTGAACTTTCTAAAAACGATTCAGGCTTTCCTCTAATAATTGTCGAGCAAAATGAGTTATTTATACTTAGCTGGAACAGGTAGCGAAACACCCTAGTAAGGAAAAGACCGGAATAGTTTATATACGTACATAGTTATATACAAACTATTGTTTTGTGATATGCCTGACACTTTAAGTAGATTAATATTTTTCATTCTTCATAATTTACTTGATAAAAGTAGGCAAATATTGTACATAGCTATATACACACTATTGTACATAGCTTTATACAAACTATTGTACATAGTTATATACAAACTATTGTTTTGTGATATGTCTGACACTTCAAGTAGATTAATATTTTTCACTCTTCATAATTTACTTGATAAAAGTGGGTAACTAGCACTAGACGATTTGTTTCAAGATACCGTTTTTTTGTTATATTTCAAGAGCATTTGCTATATTTAAAGATTCTTGTAAATGTTTTAATTATGAAGTTTACTATCTTTATTTTCATAGGTTTGGTTTCAGAACCGACGAGCTAAATGGCGAAAGAGGGAGCCACCGCGTAAAACAAACTATTTACAAACTGGTAAGGAAATCCAAAAACAAAAAGAACTACTGTTGTTTGATATCCAAATGATACGTTGCGATAAAAAGTAATTCACAGTTTCATGTCAAACTTCACATATGAATATCGCCACCTTTTCCTACGTTTTCAGATAAAAATTATATTATGATACGGCTGTGATTTATTCAATGTTCGACATTCAGTAGCTTTACTGTCATGTAATCTGAAGTTAAATCCAACCTTGAAAACTTAACCCATGTTAAGAAGTGGGTTTCGATACGAATTTATCAATTTCATGCTGCCATTATCATCTTTAGTGGAGAATTTCGAACAGGCATAAGAATGCCACATACTACGGGCTCGTTTCGATAAAATATAATATAAATAATATTTCAGAACAAGAAATTACAATAATTTAGAAATTTAAAATGTAAGCAAAAACGGATTGATGGAAGGTAAACTGTAAATGTGTTAATGTGGTGATGACTAGCTGCCTTCCCTCTAGTCTTACACTGCTAAATTAGGGACGGCTAGCGCAGATAGCCCTCGTGTAGCTTTGCGCGAAATTCAAAACAAACAAACAAACAAACCAAACCAAACCATTAACGTTGTTTAGAATCAAATACATTAACGTTGTTTAGAACCAAATACATTAACGTTGTTTAGAACCGAATTCATTAACGTTGTTTAGAACTAAATACATTAATGTTGTTTAAAACCAAAAACATTGACGTTGTTTAGAACTAAATACATTAACGTTGTTTAGAACTAAATACATCAACGTTGTTTAGAACAAAATATATTAACGTTGTTTAGAACTAAATACATTAATGTTGTTTAGAACCAAATACATTAACGTTGTTTAGAATCAAATACATTAACGTTGTTTAGAATCAAATACATTAAACTTAGAGCTTAGAAAAGCAAAGTAAGTGAAATGAAAGTTTATAATTTCTCGTAAACAAATACGTTGTTTAGAACCAAATACATTAACGTTGTTTAGAATCAAATACATTAAACTTAGAGCTTAGAAAAGCAAAGTAAGTGAAATCAAAGTTCATAATCTCTCGCATAGAAATACGTTGTTTAGAACCAAATACATTAACGTTGTTTAGAACCAAATACATTAAACTTGGAGCTTTTCGTTGTTTACTGTAGCAAGCTGAATGTTAGTATAATACATAATAAAGGACACATTGAAATATAGGTTTATTTTATTTATCATCTTATTTCGCTGTGTTCTATAGGTTCCACCACAACTTTGGGAATAGCATACCCGACAACAACACCTCCTCTAAACAACAATGTTATTGATAACTGGGGATATGGAACGTCTCCTTACGACTTCGATTTCCAAACACCGTATTTTTCTACTCCGTACACCGGGTTTTCAAACAACTCTCATTCAAACCTGACTTCTAACACCGCCAGTGCGAGTTACTACAACACGATGGTGCAAACTCAATCCATGAACATGACAGAAGCTTTGATACCAACCTACCATTTATCTCCCACATCAGACATTCACCAGAAAACTCTTATTTCGACATCTCATCAAGGACCTCTCTCCCCATCTTTAGACAAGAAAAACATAGTATTGGATCAGTCAGAAAATGCAGTCTTGGAACCTCAAAGGTTGACTTCCTTATCTCATTTATTGCTGAAGACAAAAGACAATACCATGCCTTCTTCAACGTTTATGGAAGTTTTTCTTAAATGAACTTACTGCAATTTACAGTACAACACGTTTATTAGCTTTATTCGTTTCTTAAAAAAGTTACAAAAACATAATAGTAATGTTTTTCTATCTTCAATAATTGGTATGATAAAAGGTAGCATTTTTTTAATTTTTTCACTGATATTTGTAGTTTGCCTTGAAAAAAATATATGAACATCAATGATGTTATATATTTCCTCTATACATTCTAATTATAAAATGTATACATTATGCGGTAATATGTAGTTTCCATTTGTTGCATAAAATGCAATCAGACAACTATTTTAATGGAAACATTTTGAAGCGTTTGTGACCAACAAACTCAAAGCTGTTTCACTGCTACAAAGACTATTGTAGAGGAGGATGAAAGATAGATGAAAGTTTCGAAAATTGCCAAAGATGTAGGAGAGCCTAATTTTCTAACAAATACTATTTCTTTAACTTCCTAAGAACTGGATTTATTATCTGTATTGGTTAAACGTATTTTTTTTTCTTATTGTAAACTAATATCTAAATATTTACAACCATCCACAGATAAAAGTAGAAAGAAAAACTTGTAAGTCCAATATTTGACAAACGAAATATAAAACACATCACGAGCGTCCAAATCGTCTATAGTGGTATTAGTCCTGATTTGAAAAGGGGATAAAACATTATGGATATATTATTTAAAATTGGTTTACGCGTCCACTACTTATTATGAGGCTTCACCCATATTTGTTAAAATACTGTTTATTTTGAGGCTTCACCAATATTTGTTAAAATTCTGTTTATTATGAGGCTTCACCAATATTTGTTAAAATACTCTTCATTACGAGGCTTCACCAATATTTGTTAAAATGCTGTTTATTATGAGGCTTCACCAATATTTGTTAAAATATTGAAGAATACAACTCATTCGGATAATATATGACGTGTTTTTATCACAGAGACATGTGGTACTAAGGCACCGAATGTTCCTTGTTAGTTGATAAAGTGAAGATAAATAAGTTTCTAAAGTTACATACTAACAATACATGTCAGACTTTAAACTACTTATTTCATAGTTCTTGTACATCTGTGTTATATGTATATACTAATAATAAAGCAAAAACGAGATAGTTGGGCTTCGTTAGATGAGGAAAGGTTTTTAAGTAAAATTCTAAATTGTTAGACTTTAACTATAAACAATAGAGAATTTAGTGAAAATTTCAAATTTAATTTTGAAAGAAGTAAATTGATTACATGGCATAAGATACTTTTAAAATAGTTGTTTTGTTATTTAAACTGTTTGAAAAAAGTACCAAGAAGGAACATTGCTTTGTTGAATCTTAACAGTTCATAAATTAACACATTTCTTCGAACTGACTATATATCTAATTATGAAAACGGTGGGTTAAGATTAGAGAAATCGTAGGTTCCGAATAATAGCACAGATGTTTATTCATAGTCGTGTATATAAAACTGTTACGTTTCATCACTTTATTACCTTAAACATTTTAATCTGTTATGTCTAAAGGTAGTAGTCCCTAAGTACCTTCCTCTTCACATTAAAGTCATATTAAAGTGAATTTCGCAAATACTTATTTTCACAGTCAATATGAGTTGACACTGGGCACTTAGGAAGATCTTGTGCAATATCTATCTACCTATGTATCTACACAGCGTGGTCACAAGTATATAGACACCACCTTTTCAGAAAAAATGAAAATTTTCAGTCATCTTCACATGAATTGATATATTTATAATTTAATTAATATCTAGTAGATCTTCCTTTCGCTTCGTGAAGTTCGTTGATCCTTTGGGGCATCATTAGAATCATCTCGTCAATTTTAGATTGTGGGATTTTC